GGATTACTGTTAAGCAGTTCAAGTGTTTTTCTACCTCAGTTATTTATTATGCTGTCTTGGAATCTTTCTATTGTGCTCACCCTGGCCCATTTCAAAACCATTTGAACTTCTGGTTCCATACTCATTGCAACTGCTCTCTTGGAAAACCACTTTCCTTATTGATTCAGCACACTTACTAATGAAGTTTGTGTATTCTTCTAAGAGCCCCTTATTTAGTTTTCCATAAGGTCAGGCATCGGTGAATTCACACATGGTCACTCTAAGAATTGCAATTATAGGTTAGCAATCAGTAACTTTAAAAGTGATGTGACAAAATACTTTCTCAATTTATGTGCTGTTTTTACATTAAAAATAGAAGTTCAATGAAACATGCTAAGTTTTATTTAGTTTACAAAATTCCAATGCCATTGATCATATTCATTGACTTTCATATAATTATTTTGTTTGTTTTTTCCCTAAAAAAAGCCTGTGACTCATTATTTGGTGAAATGGTGTTCACTTCCATATGAAGACAGCACATGGGAATTAAAGCAAGACATAGATCAAGCTAAGATTGAAGAATATGAGAGACTAGTGGCTAGGGAGCCAGAAACAGAACGTGTGGTAAGATTTAGCTTTCTATTGAAAATGTTTCTTAATAGTAGCTTAATAATGTGGTTTGTGGAAACCACTAATATGATTTGTTGTATTTGAAATAGGAGCGACCTCCTGCTGATGACTGGAAGAAATCAGAATGTTCCAGAGAATATAAAAACAACAACAAACTCAGGGAATACCAGTTGGAAGGAGTAAACTGGCTTCTTTTCAACTGGTATAACACGTATGTAACACGCATTCATTGTAAAACAGTATAGTTAAATAAATAAGGAAGTATATTTGTTTTGTAAATCTCATTTGAGGCGCTGAATTATAATTTCAGAATTTATTCATTGCAGACGCAACTGCATTTTAGCAGATGAAATGGGATTGGGAAAAACTATCCAGTCCATTACATTTCTCTATGAGATATATTTAAAAGGAATCCATGGTCCATTTTTGGTTATTGCCCCATTGTCTACAATCCCCAATTGGGAAAGAGAATTCCGTACCTGGACAGAGTTGAATGTTGTTGTATATCATGGGAGCCAAGCCAGTCGAAGGATGATTCAGACATATGAAATGTACTTCAAAGACCCACAGGTAAAAGTTATTAGTGTAATAAAAGATGACTTCAAATAATTATTTCTCCTTGGTTATTGCCTTTCATTGTTTCAAAAAATAAAATCAGGATTAGAAAAGGCATTGCCAAAAGGAAATGTTTTCCATAAATTCTGCACACATAAATATTACTCTGTTAAGGTTTCCTAAATTAGGGGATTTAAAACAGCACAATACAGTTTTTCCATTCTGTTAAACAAAACTAAGAATAATTTATAAGTACATTTTTCTATCATATCAAAAAAATCTAGAAGAATCTGGTAACACTTTTTCCAATTAACATATTTTATTAAAAAGCAGAAGCTTTTGTGTGCTGCAGTTCCTTTCATCAGGATATAAATATAATATTAATGTTAATATTTATATTTATGACCTTAATATTTTAAAGTTTTACTTTGATGTTTTTACTCTATAAGCCACTTAGAGTTGCCTCTAGGCTAGATGGGTGGTATATAAATTTAATAAATAAAATAAAAGTAAAATATTATTGTGAGTGGATTTGGGAGAAGGCAGATTGTTTATGCAAATCCAAGTTATTAATATGGTTCTCTTCCCACATTGTCACATTATCAGTATTCCATAGAATATTTGGTACTGTTGGTAACATTTAAAAGAATCCACAATGTCACAGTGACTTTCAATTTCCAAAGTAAACTCTTTGAATTTAAGAGCAGGATTTAGATATTATCCACAATTCTATTATCATTAGTCAGTAAATGTTTTTGTTTTGAAAGAAAGCATTTGAACCATGCATAAGGTTGTTTTAACCATAGATAATAATTACATAATAATCTCTATGCTTTTAGGGTCGTGCAATTAAAGGATCATACAGATTTCATGCCATCATTACAACATTTGAAATGATTTTGACTGATTGTCCTGAGCTCCGTAACATTCCGTGGCGATGTGTGATCATTGATGAAGCTCACAGGCTGAAGAACAGAAATTGTAAGCTGCTAGAAGGGCTCAAAATGATGGACCTGGTGGGTACTGATATTCTTAAATCTCAAAGAAAAGTCTTTTAATTCTGTCCATTTGAATTCCAGTTTTGTTAACATTTTCCTGCTTAAGAGAATGCTATGAAACACCTATAATTCATTTGCACACTTTAGAGAATCCACTGATAATATCTAAAATGCAGTAGGAAAAAATGGACATGAAACAGATTGAAATCTTCGCTTGTAGATGGGTAGCAAAAAAATTTAATAAATACATTTGAAAGTTTTCGTTCTCTTATTTTTTGCAGGAACACAAAGTGCTTCTAACAGGCACTCCTTTGCAAAATACTGTAGAAGAGCTTTTTAGCTTGCTCCATTTCTTGGAACCAAGTCGTTTTCCTTCAGAAACCACTTTCATGCAAGAATTCGGTGATCTAAAAACTGAGGAACAGGTAAATTATTCCACAATATATTTTTCCAATTGTATAAAAATAATGTCAGTTGGTACAAAAAAAAGTAATGGGACAAGAAAAGTAAGCAAAATAATTTCTTATATTTGTCTGTCTGTGTGTCTACCCACCTACATACCTACCTATCTACCTGTCTATGCCACCCAACTTCAATGTACACTCTGGGCAGTATACAAAACTAGAAAAAAGCTCAAAGCATTGTATCAGAAAGCTCAAAGCATTATATCAGGCAGACATGGAGAATACTTTTTAGTAAAATAATACCAAGTATTTAAAAACAGAATGAGTTTTATAGCATTTAAAACATTTGAACAATGTCAGCTAGAAATTCAGCTGTTAATTGAGTACATCTGGAGATCATTAGATCGAAGAAACCTGATAAATAGGTTTTTAAAATAAAGTATGCAAAAATATTACTAATATTTTAGCTCATATGATAGCAATATAAAATTATATTGGAGAAGAAGAAAGATAATATATTGTTTAATAAATATAGTGTGTAATGAACAAGGATTTATCTGCAATATTGTATCACATGGGTCTTTTTATTTATTATAATTTAATTATTCATTTTGAAAAATATTGGCATGATTAAATCTAATACAATTAAAAATTTCTTTAGTCATATAACAATTTTAATGCATTTTAATTGCTCTGAGTGTTTGAATTATCTATGTTAGTTACTACAATGTTTTAGTACATGTTGATATAGTAAATAATCTGTTTAAAAGATAACTTTTTACCAGACTTGCTATAAATAGGACAAATGTTTAGTTCAGAAGTCATTCCATTAACAGGATAATGTGCATTATAGCAAGCATGTTTCTATTAAATTGGGGTTTTACTGCAAATGACACCAGTCATGTCAATTATATAATTATGCAAATGATATAAATTCTGATTTAATGAATATTTGGATTTAACAGAAACTCATTTCCCCAAATTATCTGTTAAATAGAGCATTTACTGTAATGAAGTTATTCTTACTGTAATAAAGTTATTCTGTAAACACTGTTTATAAATAATAGTAATTATGGAAATATTTTTATTTTCCCCAAAATTGCAGCATAATAGGAAATTATGGGAAGATATACATAATATATAAGGATATTTATAATAGGAATTGAAAATTGTAATATAAACATTTATTTTATCAGGTTCAGAAACTTCAAGCAATTTTAAAACCAATGATGTTAAGACGGCTGAAAGAAGATGTGGAAAAGAACCTGGCACCCAAGGAAGAAACGATTATTGAAGTTGAATTGACAAACATTCAGAAAAAATACTACAGAGCTATTCTTGAAAAGAATTTTGCATTTTTGTCAAAAGGAGGTGGCCAAGCAAATGTTCCTAATCTGTTAAACACTATGATGGAACTGAGAAAATGCTGCAACCATCCATACCTTATAAATGGTATGCTGATTTTCTCTTATTTTACAAAAAAAGTTTTGTAAGGACTATAGTTATCTGTTTATAATTTATTTATTATTTATTTATTAATTTAATTTATATACCGCCCTTCTCCCGCAGGACTCAGGGCGGTGCACAGCATATTAAAACAAGTACAAATACAAAATACAAAAAATATAGACCCCTATAAAACCAAATTAAAAACCAAATATTAGAAGCTGTTATTCCTATTAAAATTATTCTTAAAATCATCCCTAAGTAAAAT